GCGGCATTAGCAGGATTCTTGCTAAGCTGGGCTTGACTGAAGCTATGCTCACCCACTTTTTCTTCATAGCTAGAATTACTCGTTGCAAACATTGATGCAGGAGTTGCAGATCCCGCTGACAACATTTAAAATATTTCCTTCCGTGGTTTGAATGTCTTTGCTTTTATCCTATGATCCTCCCCGAGACAGATTTCCAGTGCCGGCAGGGAGATTTCATCCTGCTTAAAGCTTGCAGGAGGGCCTCTCCCCCTGCAGTCCCCCTGCTGAGTGTCCCCAGCGTGCTCTGTCATGCCCTGCCAGCAGCTCCGGGTGCGGCTCTGCCGGGAGATTGACACCTCCCAAATGCCGGAGTGCATTGCTGGGATGACACCGGCGGCGCAGCCACCAGCTACCGAGAAGTGAGATGCACGGGTGCCAAAATCTATTTCGGGGCTACGTGCGAGGTGTGTGGTCTCTCAGATATTTTGGGATTCAAAATGCCATGAGCTGCCACCCAAGTGACGGTGTCGATAAAATGAGGAAGATATTTTTTGTAAATCCTTAACAAACACACCATCACTTGCTAATTGGTCACACGCAGGAAGCAAGATGTTGGGGTTTATTGTCAGTAACTCAGCTAGGGATATCAAGTTAATACCTGAAAAGACCCAAATTCAGACTACGTGCTCAGCTGTTCTTTTCTCACAAGTGCATTTACCCAGTGAAGTGGAGGATTTCCCTGATATGGTTCGCAAATGGTCACTGTTGTGGAGAGCGAATAAAACTAAAACAAACAACCAGGCTGTGATGTCTCCTGTTTGTGGTGGGGAAGTGAAATGAGCTTCACCCAAAGTTTTGACAGCATCTCTAATGAAGTGTGTAAAGTCTGTTGTTCAGAATTGATATATAACGCGTGGGCTTTGAATAAAACCAATAAAATCAAATTCCTCCTTTGTAATTTGTTTCTTTATTATTGTACATATGTGACAAAGCTGTTTAGTTTGAAGATAAATTTAAGATAAATAATATTTAGTTACTGGGAGGTCTTTGGTTTAGAATATTGATATTTATTTACATACTCTGAGGAAAAAAAATGCCCATCAACTAATTCAGCTCAGAGAGCTGCACTGTCTGGCTATGGCACAAAGCTGTGCTGGGGATGTTGAAAATCCTGACCAGCAAAGAGGCAAAAATACTCAGGAATGAGAAGGATGAAGCTTTGAAATGCTTCGTTTTATGGTCAGTGCTTATTTAGCCATAATTTTAGTCATTTAGCCATGACATAGTAATTTCTTGGTAACTTCTGGGGCATCCCACAGACCTGTAAGCAAGGTGAGCATTGCTGTGAAATGTAAATAATAATCTAAAAATAGGTCCTGGGGAAGGGATGCACAATGTCCATGAGCTGGAACTTCACAGCAAACTTGGACAGCAAGGATTTAGTGGTAGGCTCTGGTTCAAGGCCAGGAAATTCAGCCCAAGGCTCCTCTTGAGCATGATTTGCTCTGCTGTGAGCAAAAGCAGCCAGTGTACAAGGTTTGGGCCTTTCCAGGTGGTGGCATCGCTGGAGCTGTGCTGCTCTGTGGAGATAGGGCTCAAAAATGGGCTGCCTAAAATGCAGCTTCCTCTGCTCTGCTGGCTTCTCCTCCCGGGCAGCTCGGTACCTGCTCCCCAGGAGCCCACAAGGTTGCACCCCAGGGCTGATGTTGCTGCTCCTGCAGTCACCTTTCCCTGTTTGCTTCCAGGTTCACATCACCAGTCACCAGGTTAAATATTCCCCTAGAGTGCTAGGGGGTTTTTTGCTGTAAGGCTGATTGTGGCTTGAAATATTTGGATAATCCATCAGAAACAGCCTTCTTGCTGGCAACTCCCCTGTGCTGAGACTGATGTAACTTCCTGTGTCACCCCAGAATCACAGAATAATGAGGTTGGAAGAGACCTCTAAGATCATTGAGTCCAACCTATGCCCCAACACCTCAACTAGACTATAGCACCAAGAGCCATGTCCAGTCTTTTTTTAAACACATGCAGAGGTGGTGATTCTACCACCTCCCTGGGAAGAGCATTCCAGTACTTTATTATTCTTTCAGTGAAAATTTTTTTTCTAATCTCCAACCCCCACCAACCTTGACCATGGTGTATGGGAAACTCTGTCCCTGGGAGACTCTCCAGTAGTGCTCTGTGGCCACAGGAAATTAAAAAGCAAAAACTCAAGGCTGAGAGAGCAGAGTAGGAGAGATGCCTGCAGTGTGCTGTGTGTTGGGATCACTGCTTGGCTCCTGCAAGGCTGTAGATCAGACCTTCACAGCACCAGCTCTGAAACAGAGCCAGAGGATAATCCTTTTCTTTCCCCATAGTGGGAGCTCAGGTCCAGTAAACTGCAAGAATCATATTGAAATGGGAGGCAGTGGCATCAGACGTGCTATGGGGCTCTGGGAATGGGTTTCCACAGCTCTGCAGGAACACATTAGAAAGCAAAAGTTTGTGAGTTATGGCTCAGTCTGGATGCAGCAGCATTCCTCCTGCTCTTCCTCCTCCTACTGGCTGCCCAGACTGGTGCTGGAGTGGCTGAAGAAGGGGTGAGTTTTCTGTTCATTAACCTCTAACCTTGGACAGTTTGGACATGAGAAGGCTGATGAGGATCTGTCCTCACCCAGCCAGCTCTCCAGGCTGGAAGGATAGATTGATGTGGTTAATTTTAACATGTCCAGGACACATCCCTGGCTCCAGGATGGGGCTGGAGGGATCACAGCATCCCTTGGACTTGTCTGGGCTGCTGTACTGGTCATCACTGCTCCTTCATTGGCCTTGTCTGGAGCCTTGGGCGTTCAGCAGAGTAAAGCCACAGGGTGGATCCCATTGGAATTTTTGGTTGGTTTATGTGCCCCAGACGGCTCAGTGCAAGGTCAGGGGTGCAGCATCCATGGGTCTGGGTGATGAGCACAATTCCTGGGTTTGCCCAGCCCTGCTCCACCACTGTCTTTGTGCTGTCTTGTAGCTTGCCAGGTCCTCAGCCCTGCTTTGTCTTTCCCTCCTCTGAGGGGCTTTTCAATCCTGCAAAAAGCAACTTCGAAAGCTTTACACTTTCCACAGCTTCTTCTAGGTGTGTGCATTTCCTCTGGCCCTTTCAGCCTCAGGATAATGAGGGGATTGTCAATTAAATGAAGTTAATGAGTTCTTCTGCATGAGCTAGTTTCAATTCTTCACCACTATTTGCTCCAAGAAACAAATATTTGTGGCTTGCTCAAAGTTACACCTCAGGAAACATGTGTGTGTCCTGGAACGAGTGCTCACAGAGTGTCCAGACTTGCAGCACGGAGCTGCTGACTAACCAAAGTAAATTGGCAATTTTTAATGCTCTTTCTCCTAAAGATCCAAGGCAAGGAGCAATCATGGATGCTACTGACATGTTTACATAAAGGCTGAAGATCTGTCACAGAGCTGGATTCTTTGGTGAGGAACTGGCAACTCATTTGCAAGTGAACTCTGCAAAGAGCCCTGGAATGGCTGCCAGAGGTTCTCTGGGCAGAGTCAGACAGTCCACATGGACTGCAGGGATGCTGGAGCCTTGGGAAAGGTCCCATTGAGAGCAAAGGTCTGTGCTTGGGCTGCTGCACCGCTTCCAGACATGATGGAAGGAAGGGAGGATGACTCCCTAAAGCTCAAAGGCACAGTCCCTCATGGGAGTGCTGAGCAGTTTTTGCTGTTAGCCAACAGGATGGGGGGATGCTCTCCATCTCACTGCTGGCTGCTCCCACCCTGGCATGGAGGCAGGCTGTTCCCCTGGGATGCCAGGAGGGATGATGCCCATGTCCACACTGCATCACCATGGCTGATTCCTCCTCCCGACTGGAGCAGGTGTGCCTAAACTGCTCAGAAATGCAAACCCAGTAAATTAAGAATTATCAGCCTGTGCTAATGCCAGAATTTCATCTATCCAGGAATTTGCCCCAGCATTCGCCTGTGTGGTTTCTTCTGGAAGTGACCTCATAAGGTGGTGACATCAAACAGCCAGTTCCACCCTCCCAGCTGTGGCAAGAGTCACTTGGAAAAGGTGAGAAGCACCTAGCCATTTCATGGAGCCATTGTAGAAATGGCACATGGAGCATCCAGATCCTTCCTGTGATGGGTATATTGCCTCCAATTTTCTTATTAGATCCCTATAGCATTTACTTGGGGCTGTTGCAAGGTGTGCTCCCAAGTGCTATGGCCTGGAGGGGGTGGATGGAGGGCACAGGGGTTTGGCCCCTGTGGGCACTTGGGGTGGCTGCCAGTTCACCATCCTCCCCTGTGCCATTGCCTGCACTGGCCCAGAGTCTGTGTGAACGCGTTTCAGCTTCAAATCCCCTCATCTGTTTGATACTTACCATTCTTAAAAAGCAACTGTTTGCTCCTTTACTAGGCAGCCCTTTCCCCCCTGTGGTTTTGGCTCAGCTGGCTTAAGCACCCTTTTCATACTCAATTTTCACATTGAAAAATCCCTCTTGGTCACACTCCTTGATTTCCTTGTCTTACAAAAGCCAGCTACTGTATGCAAACCTCTGAGCCTTAATTGTATATCCCAGTAATATATAGCCAGGCCTGGCTAATGTCAAGAAACCCAGTCACGAGCATCGGAGGCTTCCAAGAGCTCTGGGGGCAGGAGCAGGCTCCCTGCAGGGAGTGCGTGGCACGTGCCAGGCTCCGAGGAGCCAGGGGGCTGCAGGATGTGTGGACAGGCGGGCAGGACCCCCCACCTGTCCTGATGGTGACTGTGGCAGAGTGAGCTGCCTCACTCTTGAAACGGTCCCTGTGGGCAGAGAGATGTTTGGGACATTTATGTGAAAGTGCTGGCTCAGTGTGCAAGGTCTGGCAGCCGCAGGCAGCTGTCTGGGCTCATCTCCCCAGGTCACAGATCTCTCATGCTGTTTACACCAGTGAGCTTTTGCTGAGGCTGTACACAAGTCCCATCCCCTGCTGAGAGAGCGGCTGCAGCTCCCTACAGCCAGCTGCACCCTGGGCTGCTTCTCAATCAGAGTCACCAGCAGGGCGAGGAGGGGACTGTCCCCTCTGCTCCACTCTCGTGACACCTCACCTGCAGCACTGTCACCAGCACCGAGGGCTCAGCACAGGAGAGATGTGGGCCTGATGGAACAGCTCCAGAGGAGGCCAAGAAGGTGCTCAGAGGGATGGAACAGCTCTGCTCTGGAGACAGGCTGGGAGGGTTGGGGCTCTTCAGCCTGGAGAAGAGCAGGTCTGAGAGCCCTAAAAGAGCTACAAAAGAGCTGGAGGGGGACTTTGGACAAGGGCCTGAAGTGACAGGACAGGGAGGAATGGCTTCACACTGGCAGGTTAAGATTAGATATTAGGAGGGAATTCTTCCTCCTGAGGGTGATGAGACACTGGCACAGTTTTCCCAGAAAATTTGTGGCTGTCCCATTCTTGGAAGTGTTCAGTGCCGAGTGGGATGGGGCCCTGAGCAACCTGATCTAGTGGGTGGCATCTCTGCCCATGGCCGAGGGTGAAATGAGATGGGCTTTAAGGTGCCTTCCAATCCAAACCATCCTGGGGTCCAAGGATCTCAGATGATGCTCCTCACTGCCTTTGCCCCATGGGTCTCACCTGTGGACAGCACTGCACACACCCACCTGGAGGGGACAGCCAAAGGTTTCCAGACCCTCTGCATGCTCGAGCTCCTCAAGGACAGCAGGGGGATGAGTGTGGAGCTCTGCTGTGGTTAAGCCACACCAGAGATGGGGATCCAAACCCAGGAGCCAGGTGAGGCTCTCCTGTACCCATGTGCCAGGGGCCACCTGGCCCAAGAGGGGCTGATGCTTGTATTAGCTTATGAGAAAAGCTGAAAATTAATAATTCCTGATTTTTTGAGAAGCCCATGGCTTGGCCATTGTATTCTTGCACAGTTTCTTTTTCCCTAAAGGAGGGTTTTTTTCTACTACAGCAGAGTAGACACAGAAAAACCAAAACCCTATAAAACACAGGTCATGTCCTATTCTTGGTCTGTGTGTATTTTTCTCTCCAGCACACCATCTCCTACTTTATTTTCTGCTGACGACTCTGGAGGTTTATTTTTCAGCAAGGAGCTTATGTGGGCAATGAATGCTCAGCCAGAATTTCTGCCTGTAATTAATTGGCTGGGTAGCCCACCAGAAGTGGGATGTTTATGGGCACAGGGCTCTTATAATGTTCACTTCTGAGCCTTCATTCCTCTAGTTTGGATCGTAAACTTCACTTATCACCAGACTTTTATATGTTAATTATTCTGTGTAGCTGGGAGAAGGGAGGACATGCAGAAGTGCATGAAATAATGAATGACTTAGGCATGGGGGATTAGATGCTCCAGTTTGGGCTGACTGTCTATGAGAGAGAAAATTGATGGCATGGCAAAGTGGGGAGAAATTTAAATCAGGGTAAGTGTGTGCTTGTTGGTGGAGCCTCACACTTTGAACTTGTGGAACCCAGTGCTAGGAGATGCCTTACCTGGGGACCATGAGGAAGAAAACCTGTAGGATAAGATTTGGCACCATTCCCCCCTGAGACACTTAAAATGTTGAGGTGCTTTGAAAAAAATCCCACTCAGCACAAATCTGCAAGTTTAAGAGCCTAAATGCCTTTGAAAATCTGGGCCATGCAGGATTAGGTTTTGATGGAAGTCAGTGAGACTTAACACCTGAGGGACTGGGACCACTGGGAAATTGCATCCTGGCTTTGGGTGAGAATGCCTAGAATGGCATTACTGCGGGAAAAAAATGCCAAACAGAAAAATTCTTCAGTGTCTCACAGTCCCTTCCTGTTCCAGGGATGCTATAAATATCCTGCCAAGCCCTCCCACGCTGCTGTTCTCCAGCTCCAGGGGCATTTGGTACTTGGCTTTGTGTCCTGACCTGAGGAGACAAGTGCTCTGAGCTACTTGCCACCCCAAGAGACAGCACCTCTTTGCCTAAAATTTGTTTAAAATGTGATAGAGCCATCTAAATGCATTTTGCTGAAGGTGCAGGAGGCTGTTTATGCCTCTGTGTGTATTGTTATTTATTAATTGAAGCCTAAATTAGACCTCAACAGGTTAGCAGTATTTAATGCAGAGAGCTCAAACATGCAACACATTCTTGGCACGTTTCCCTTTATTAATTAAAAACCTCTTTAAAACACTCTGCCTTCCACCTTGGAGCAATAAATTTCCACCTTGAGGAAATAATTTCCTTGTTGTATTCCATACAGAGACGTTCTGTTAGCTGCAATCCCTGTTTCAGTGTAGGCCCCACTCAGCCTTATTTCACATTCAAAATAAACTTTCAAAAGGCCAGGTTTTTCTGTCAGAAAAGGGGGGGGGGGGAAGAAAATCTTAAAAAATCAACTTTTCTGCTTTTTAAAAATATATTTGGGATTAATTCCGATGTAGTTTACTGTTTGTGCAGACTGTGAACCACAAAGCTTCTTCTTAGTAAGAACTCACAGGACTCTGCAGCAGGTCCTGAAGCAGGCAAAGAATCCTTGGCAGCCCCAAATGAGCTGATGGTCCTGCATGGGAGGCACTGCCTGCTGCAGTTGCTGGGAGAGTTTTATGGCCCCCCTGCCACCCCCAGCTCTGGGTGGCTGGTTTTCTTTATGTGTGCCCCAGCCCAAACTTGCCCAATGTCATGACATAACCTGGCAAAAATGTCACCTGATTTTGGGGCCTGAATGGCTTTTGTTGCCCTGCCAGAGACCTTGGTGTGCAGGGAGGCAGGAAAGGTCTCTGCTGGCTCCTCCAGGAGTTCAAACTAAACTCAGCAGGTTTGGAGGTGAGAGATGGTTGCAGACTTCTGTCTCTCATCCTGATCCATGCTGCAGGCACTGAGGGCAGCAGAGATGCTGCTCTATCTCCAGTTTGTGCTCAGAACATGAGCAAACAACCCCATCTCACTGGAGCAGGTGGGTTGTGGGCAGTCAGCACTGTCTGCAGATGTCAGATGTTGTTTAGCAGGGAAAGATGGGAATGAAATGCTTTCAGTGGAGGAAAAATTGCCTTTTCTTTCCTTGCTCACTTTTATAATTATCAAGGCTGTAGATCCTATACACCTCCTTGGTAGGTTCATCACAGGTGCAGCTAAGAGTGTTCTAATGGCACACAGACCTTAAAGTATCAAAAAGGTGGGGGAAAGATCCTGATCGGTTTTGTTGTACTTTGTCTGAATTTAACTTCAAAGCGAAGTTTAAAAAGAAGCCCTTTTTGGTCATGGCAAACCAAGAACCCTGTCCAGAACGGCTTGGGCTCTCTTTCTGTGAGCACTCACAGGAGGTCGTGCTCCTTCCCGTGCTCTCGCAGCCCAGTGAAGTGATGGATCCAAAATGCTGCTCTGGACTTGAAACACATTCTGCAGGAGAGCTCTGCACTGCTTGATAAAGGGCTTTTGCAAAACTGACTTGAAATAAAAGCAGTAAAACTGTCACTGAAATGTAAATGATTAGAGCAACGTGACTCTCTGCTTCCCCCAATTCTTCTGCTCATTCTTGCTTTTGCAAATATAATTTAAAAATAACCAGTTCAGGATGCTTTGGTGGAGAGTGTTCTTGCCTTTGGGCCAGAAAGTACTAGACTGAGTGGGTCAGTGGTTTGGGTGCCACACAAGGGCAGGGGTCCCTTCAGAACTGCAGGTCCTGCCTGCCTGGGTGGGCACTGGGGGGACCCCAGGCTGCTCCCTTGGGATGAGCATCCCCATGCCACCAGCACCCAGGAGCTCTGCCTTCCCTGGCACATCTGCCTTCTCCAAAAGCGGACTGGGAATGGGGATCACAGACAACCCCCTTTCCAGCCAGAAGCAGGTGTGAAGCAAGTGGAGGGTTCTATGGGGTGACAGCCCCAAGTGTCACCTCCTTCTTGCTGACAGTGCTTCTTTCCTGTGCTTGTTCTTTCTCACAGCACAAAATCACTGAAGATTTCAGTGAGCTGCTGGATGACATCAAAAAGACTTAGTGCCACTCTGATATCATCATTATCGATGGGTTTTGTTTCACCATCCCATTTATTGACCTATATTTGCCCTTCCTAGATCTCTAGGATGACACACTGAACAGGAGTGGTGGAGCAGCTCTGACAAGAGAGACTCCAAGTCACAGAACAAGACACCCTTCAGAGGTAGCGAATTATTTTCTTGGAACAAATGGATCTTTTGAGTCTGTTTTCCCAATGGAAAATGTGTCTGCTCTCAGCATGAGCAGTGCTGAGAGTCTAGGAAGGCACCATCATATGTCTCATACTGGAAATAGACTGGTTTGGTTCCCATCAGAAGGACTAATGCTATTTCCCAGCAGCATGTAGTGTCAGTGTGGGATCAAGGTTCATCTCAAATGTGATCAATTTCCTGCTGGAAAATTCACTGTTCATTGTGCCTGGCCCTGGCATGTCCTGGGATTCACAGGGTCCTGGGTCTCCCCTCAATGCAGAGCCCTGAGCAAGTCTCCATCCTCATGGTCTGGCTCACATGTCCCTCCCCTCAGCACACCTGGGCAAGAGATGAGAGCTCATTCCAGGTTTATGGGGACAGTGGGGTTGGAGAATGTGCTTGCCTTAAAGTCTGGGAGGTGAGGAGGACTTGCCTTCTTCTGACAGCACTGGTTCAGGCTGTTCTGGGCTTTCCCTCAGCAATGCACTGCTCTGGATCTTGTGTGGGGAGCAGCTAACCCCAGGCAGCAAGTCTAAACCATGTAATGGGAAAAACCTCCCACAAATCCCCCAAATGGAGACTGCTGAGTTTTACATATCTTGGGTTAACCTTAATGTGGTTCAAACCTATGATCACAGCTTGATACCCATTTGTTTAAAAAACCCACAGTCTGGCGTGGAGTCCAGCAACAATTCCCTGGATATAAAAAAAAAAAAATTCCCTTTTACCCAAAACTCCAGGTGACTGTGGTTATTGTCAGGAGTCTCTGAGTTATTTCCTCCCTATCAGTTATCAGGACTGGGGCTTCTGCAAATGTTTTGTGTGCACATGGCACAGGTTGTGAAACAACTCCTGGATTGCCTCCTTTGATCTTTTGGGAGAAAATTATTTTGAAAGCTATTAAAGAGAGTAAAGATATTAAAGAGTCAGGAGGCTCATCACTCAAAATTCTTGGGATGTCTCCACTGCTCCTTGCTCTGCTGGGTGGATGGAGGGGTGCTTGCCAGGTTCTCCATGTACCTTAGATGAGGCCCTTCCCATTTGGCACAGAATTTGGGGATCTTTTTACCATGCTCTTCTCTCCCTGCAGGTTGCATCATCATCATTGTGAACGTACTGGCATATTGGGAGAGACTGTGGAAGTCATGAAAGTAAAATCTTCATCAGATCATGAGAGGATGAAAAGTTAAACTCCTTTTAGGCAGAACGTGATCCTTGGTGGCTGTCAGAGCTCTGCCTACAACTTGTGCTTCAAACCTTCATTGAAATAAGCCAGAATGATTGACAAATAAGCCTTTATGATTGAAAATAATTCTGGAAATATCTTCTCTTTTTCTGTGAGCTAAATGGGTGGAAGTGCAGCCACCAGCTCTGGCCCTGTGCTGGGGGCAGCTGATGGAGGGAGGAACTGGAGCAGCTGCGGGCTGGGAAGGGATCACAGCCCCGGTCCTTTTCCTGGAAACCTTGTGGCAAGGCTGGGACTGGAGCCCAGGCCTGCAGTGCTCTCCCTGCCAGCTCCCTCTTTCTAAGATCAAGCAGCCCCAGCACAGCAAAAGAGCTGCTCGAGTCAGCAAACCGACCCGCTCCGAGGAAACGGGCTGTGACACCTCGGAGCAAAGCACCTGCTCTGTGCTCTGACACTGCTTAGCACCTTGGAACGACCTGCTGGGCCTCCCCGGCAGCCCTAGGGCAAACACACCCACACAGCTCGGGGGAGTCGGAGAAGGGACGAGGAGGAGGCCCGTGAGCAGCACGGGCCGTGCCAGGACAGAGCTGCGCCCCAAGGCCTGGCCGCGGTGGCTGGGGTGGCAGAGCTGGTGTGCCGCAGACGATGAAGGTGAGGCACCTGACCCCGCGGTCATGCAGGCACCGGGGATTAGCAGAGCAGGACTGGCTGCACACCAGCTCGGTGTCCTGTGCTATGGCAGGGACCGAGAAACCATGTGGGGGTGACCAAAGGGAGCAGAGTGCCTGGGGGAATGTGCCTCTGGGGGTTTGGCCCTCTCCTGGCTGGGTGTGGGGCAGAGGGGTGTGTGCCTTGCAGCAGGGTGCTCCTCTGCTCCTGCGCAAACGGGCTCACGCCCTCCATGGCCTGGCTCTCAGGCAGCACAAGCTGTGCCTCTGACGGCATTGCTGCTATAACATCAGGTGGGTTTTTCTCAGTTTTTGTGACCATTCCTTGTGATTCTGCACATTCAGTGGGAGTTCAGCATTGCCAGAGGAACACAGAATCCCAGAATGGTTTGGGTTGGAAGGAACCTTAAAGAACCTCTAGTTTCAGCCCTGCTGCCATGAGCAGGGACACCTTCCACCTGACCAGGCTGCTCCAGGTCCTGTCCAACCTGCCCTTGAACACTTCCAAGTTGGGACACCAGCATTTTCTCTGGGCAACCTGTGCCAGTGCCTCACCAGCCTCACAGGGCAGAATTTCTAGAAAATATCCTCTTTTTCACTGTATTATGGCTTTCAGCCATAAATAAATGAGACCCCAACAAGAGCAGTCTCTAAGCAAAATTATTGCTTAGAGCAATAACCCTACAGAGCAGAGTGGGTTGATCTTGCAGAGCTCTGCCTGCCACTGTTGAGGCTGTGCCTGCCTCTCACCAACCCCAGAGAGCTCGTCTGCATTGCTCTCCAAAATCTGCCTTCCCAATCCCATTTGTAGTGTTTGTGCCCCAAAGCCTTCCCCAAGCCAGCTGAGAGCTGAGAACAGGAGCTCCTTGTAAAAGGGTGAGGGAGAAACCAGTGACACAAGCTCCTGCTGAATTTGTTTTTCATGTTCTCATTTGTAATCATTTTGTGTTTTATGAGGGATACTTCCTAAAACTTTGCCAACATGATGGAAACATATGTGGTGCTCTTATTCATGATGTGACCCTTTTGGTGGAGAGAAGAGATGAAAATCTGCTTTTCTCTGACATCTCCACAGCATATGGTCCAGTGAGATGGAAAATCAGTGGTGTGGGGTACCTGATCTTCCCCCAGCCATGCTGACTCTGTTCACTCCTCCAGAATCACAGCCCACATAACTCTGCATGTACAATCCCCAGGTAGTTTTTCTTGCCAATTATTTGTTTAAACTTTTTCTCCTTCTCTTAAAATTTGCTTTTACTAGGTGTAGCCCATCTCTGTGACCTGAGGGTGACACTAAAAGTATTGTTTGGAATTTTCTCTGAATTGCAGGTTTGCTCCTGTGCTGGTTTCAAGGACAGAGCCGAGCTGGGGGCAGCAAACACTATCCCTAGAAATAGTTATTGCATCTTTCAGAGCTAATGATGCCAAAGTTAAAGAACCTTTGCCTATTTAAATTAGCAAATCCCTTTACAAAGGGTATGACTGAGTTATCAGCATCACTGGCTCTATTTGGGTCACACCACAGCTGTCACTGAACAGGGACAATTCCTGCAGCATTTGTGTTTGGGTGAGTGACAAGGGTCACCTTGAGTCCATGAGCCAGGACTGCTGCCATCCCTGGGTGCCCAAAAGTGCAGGGCTGGCTCTCACCAGCAGCACTGCACGTGCAGCAGCAGCATGCTGCTTGGAACCCCCAGCTCAGGATGTGGGTTGTTGCTTATCCTGGTTTTCATTATTTAGTGGCGAGAGAAAACTTTTGTGCAGAGTAAAAACAATCCTGAGCCTTCCTGAGTTTATAGGAAGGGCTCAGACAGGTTGAAGGAATGGTGTGCAAGGACAGGACACTGCAGGACAGCAACCAGTGTGAAGGAACACCTGTCATAAAGGGTATGGAGGTACATTTTTAACTGAAAATAAACTGTTAATGGCAGGAGAATGCAACAATGACAGTGGTGAGTAACTCAGGACAAATACAGGGGCCAGGCAACAAAAGTAGCTACCTGAAAGGTGGAGAGTGGTAAATTCCTCTAACCTGACCATGGACTGAGAGAGCTGGGCTTGTTCAGCCTGGAGAAAAGAAGGCTCCAGGGAGACCTTAGATCCTCTTCCAGTGCCTAAAGGGGCTACAGGAGAGATGGAGAGAGACTGCTTACAAGGGCATGAAGTGACAGGACAAGAAGGAATGGCTTTAAGCTTAAGGAGAGCAGATTTAGATTAGATGTTAGGAGGAGATTCTCTCCTGTGAAGGTGGGGAGGCACTAGCACAGGTTGCTCAGAGAAGTGCTGTGTTGGGATGCTGCTCAACTCCTTTGATCAGGCAGGCAGGGCAGTGAAAAGCAGCCCTCTGAACAATGTCTCTGGTCTTGGGAGGAGCCAGCAGCCTGGCTGGTGCCCAACAGACAGTGGGATGCTGCCCCTCAGCTTTGTCCTGGGGAGACTCTCTGAGCAGACAAACTAGAAATAGGGGTTCTCAGCAAGGACACCCCCACTTATTAATGAGGGAAATTAATGTACTTTGTGAGTTGAAGTCTCCTGCAATCTGGGCTGGTGAAAATTAGGACCAGGCCAAAAAAAGTCAAGGATGCCTGCACCAGTGTGAACCAGACTTCATAAAATAGAAAGGAGAGGCCCCTTTTGTCAGGCGATGGCTTTTCCTCAGAAGCTAAATGATACATAATGTTTATATAGTGTTTTGCCTCTCCTAAATGCAGGCTAGACATTAATTGATTCCAGGTTTGCTCTGTGAAGTAGGTCAGCTCTTTCCATTTTCAGATAAAGGAGTGGTGGGATCTCTGAGAGGTGCAGGGGGGTCAGCGTCGGCGCCGGCGCACCTACACGGACGGCTGCCCTCCCCGTGGGACCATGCTGCCACCCCAAATGTACACCACTTCTGATGTATGTGGAAATCAGCTGGGACTCTGTAAACCCAGCTACATTAAGCCCGGTTCATATGAAATCTGTTTATGTCTCCATTGCTCGCCACTGGTCAAAGCAGGACTTAACCAACCTAACGCTGTTTGTGTTCAAAGCCTCTTAAACCCTTGCTCTGACTGTCTTGAAGTGAGATATAAAGTACTTGCTGGGACCTGGCTGGAGGCCAGGGAACTGTTTCAGGCTCCCCTCTCTCTTCTGCTCGTGGGGCAGTTTAGAAAAAGCATGGCACATTTCAAACAGTGATGGAAAAAAATAATTTTAATTCATTTCTGTTTACATAATGTTGGAAGCTTGGGAGGGTTTGGGCAGACAATTATTAATGGTTTAAACTGGCTTGGTAAAAATATTGCCTTGGTCTGGGAACATGAGCTGGCTCCCCAGGCCTGGTGCTGGGTCAGCCAAGCGCTGGCTGCAGGACTCAGGGAGCAAGGACTCAGTGGCTGGGTGGGTCCCACTGCTGTGCTTCCTTTGGCATCTTGGAAAGAGCCCATTCTGTCCATTCTGCTGAGGCTGAGCTGCAAAAACCCAAAGCCTGGATCTGGGGAAACACCCTGCTCTTCCCAGTCACCTCCATTTCTGGATGCCCAGCCTGGAGGTGTTTGGTGATCAGATCAGAGGGGCCCAGGGCATGCCCACCCTGGGAGCACCACTCCTTCCCTGCAGTCTCAAAGCTTAACTGCTGAAAGGTTTTGGTCCAGCCTTTTAGGAGCATGGCCCTTTATTTTTGGTCAGTACCTTGTGTGAATCAGCTCCAAAGCAGGTGGAGCCATTCCCAAATGTGCAGCGTGGGAGTGAGAGGGTAATTGGGTCCTGTGTAAAGTGCCCTGAGCTCTCCAGGTGCCAGAGGAGGAGAGGATGGGCAGACACTGTCCCACCTGCAGCGTGAGCCTGGCCTGAGTGTTCCATCCTCACATCCATCCCTCAGAAGACTCAGACACAATTTTACTGGTCTGTCGCTCAGGAGGACCTGGCACCTATAAAACTGCTCTTAATTACTTCCCAAGTTACTCACCAGGGTGATGTTGGTTTTGTCCTATAATCCAATAGGACTCTGCCTGATTAGTGTAGATCACTGCCCACCATAACTCTGTTGTCTTATTTATTGCTGTGTGATCACACACTGTGTGCATGTGTCCATGGCTGGATTTTGGACACCCCTGGGCTGCCCACAGAATCTGCCCATGCTGGTTTTGCTTTCCAGCCTGTGCCTACCACACTGCAGCACCTCCACACACAGAGCTGTGATACTGCTGTGAGGCTCTAGTGGGTTTTTTAATGCCTGCACAAGGGGTAACAGCATGAGAAGAACCTGTGAGCCTGGTTTGGAGGGTGACAAATTCCAGGTCCTCCCTCCTGGTGTGTCCAGCTCACACATGGATAGGGAGCAGGGATTGTCCCCTCTAGCCATGGCACTGGCTGCCTCTGATCTGCTTTGCTCTGCTTTGACACCTGAGATTAAAACAAGGGCTGGAGTGGCT